CACATGTATGCGGATGACACTTAACTCTACTTTTCCACCTCCAGCTGCGACCCGCAGTCCCCTGATGTTCTGTCAGCTTGTCTGTCGGACAAGAGCTGGATGAACGCAAATTTCCTGCAGTTAAACGTCAACAAGATGGAAGCCATACTCTTTGGCTGCCGTCGACGTCTTCTGTTCCATAGTTCCGACCTCCTCAACCTACCCGACCTGTCCTTAAACTCTCTAAACCCGTGCGCAACTTAGGCATCTGGTTCGATCCCCAGTTGCCCTTCCTCCCCCCACATCCAGTTCCTGACCATCACCGCTTTCTCCCACCTCCACCACATTGCCCGTCTGACAACACCTCACCCCAAAAGCTGCTGAAACCCTTGTCCATGTCTTTGTCACCTCACCCTACTCTAACGCCCTCTCGCAGGTCTCCTCTCCTCACTATTCACAAAATTCAGCTCATTTGAAACTCTGCCGCCCGCATTCTCACCCGCACCAAACTTCATACCCCGATTACTCCAGTCCTTGCCAACTCCACTGGCTCCCTGTCACAGAGCGGATCGGCTTCACGATCCTCACTCTGGTGTTTAAATCCCTCCATTCCTTGGCACCCCCCTATCTCTCTAACCTCCTGTCTCCCCACAGCAGTACCCGCTGCCTCCGCTCTACTGGGTCTGGCCTCCTCCATGACCCCTGAATCCTCCGTTCCACCATCGGAGGCTGTGCCTTCAGCCACTATGCCCCAAAACTTCGTAACTCCCTCTCTCAACCCCTTTGCCTCGTCCCCTCCTTCCTCATCTTCAGGTTGCTCCTGAAGACCTTCCTCTTCAACCGTGCCTACGGTCACTTTTCCCCTGCCCCTGGCTTGGGCTCGGGCTCCACCATTGTTAAATGCTCTGTGAAACCACCCTGCGTGGAGGGCACTATATAATGCAAGTTGTTGTTGTTCTTGTTGTAAGTGAAACTAATGTCAGGAGCAATGCAGTTTGGTACTTCTGAAAACTGGTAGCGGAGGGAAAGAGGTTGAAGTTGTAATTTAAACGCCACATCCATGCCTAGGCCAATTCTGCCTTCACCCACATCCTTGCATTCGATATTGTGATTTTCATATAAGGAGGGACGTTTCAAACGCTTCACAGAAAATATTATAATATTATAAAATGCAGTGGAGTCCTGTAGCTCAGTGGTTAGAGCACTCGCTTTGCAAGTGAGAGACCTGAGTTCAATTCCAGGCAGGGCGAAACCTTGGGCAAGTTTCCTTACTCCACACGCCTAATAATAATCCCTCCAAAACCAAAAACAATAATAAATTGGTCGTTTTCAATCTACGACTGTTTGTGGGACATTGCTGTGCGCAATTGGCTGCCGCGTTCGCCCACAAATATACAGTCAATTCACTTTACAGTGTGTTCTGTGAAGCGCTTTGGGATGTCCTCCCGACGTGAAAAGCGCTATATCAAATGCAAGGATTATTATTATTATTATTATTATTTTGCAGGCAAAATTTGCATACAGCAATGCCCCACAAACTGGAGAATTATTGGTCAGGACAACAGGAGAAACTTCCTTCTATTTTCAAATAGTGCAGTGGGATCTTTAATATCCACCTGACCAGTCAGATAGGACCTCATTTGAACATCATCTCTGAAGGACATCACCTACCATCAATGCAGGACTCCCCCCAACACTGCCCTGCAATGCCAGTCAATGTAGGTCACTTACACGTTTCTGAATGACTGCAAATACTCAACACAAACATTACCGGCTCAACCATGGTATGCAAATAAAGTTCCATTTGCAAAAAAACTGCATTATCACCTGTGGTCTATAAAAGGTGATCCCATCGACCTTTTCTTGATTGCTTAAGTTCGAGGACGCAGACATTTCAAAGTCTGTTAGAGGAACAATGGAATTGCACAATATTTCTCATCTTTAGTCAAGTACAATGGGTGCTTTGGGTAAAAATTATCTTGTTTTTCAACTGCTGAGCTTTTTACATGGTTGAGGTTAATCGCTTGCTAGCCAAGTAACTGAAAATGACAATTATAGACTGAAGTTAACATAAGCTCAGTTCAAAATTCCTCTCTCACCTAGAAACCCGAAATTTGCACAACCTTGGAAAAACATACATCTCCGCTATAATCCAAAGCTCTTTCCATGAATTAAACATGAACAAATTGTTATCATGTTAAGGAGCCAAACAAAGAAAAAAAGTTTCCATTACATTTTTAGACAAACAAACAAGGGATTCTAACCAAACAAGATTTATCTTTACATATCTCACAACAACTGGGTCATGCTGCTCAATTGAACTTGCTCTCCAACCTCAGCAGCATATACAGTACTTTGTTGACTTGTACCATCAGTTACAGATTGTGAAAAAGAGGTCACAGTTAAACTTTGTTACTACTGTATAAACTCATGGAAATCAGCAGACTAGCCCTCTGGAATTCATTGGATTAAGGTTCGAGCTACTCTTATGAATTTAATGTAGACTCTGCCAAGGTTAAGCAGAAAAACATGTGCGATGAAGAGAAGTTTTGCAAAGTTTGACTGTACTCAAGTCTCAATGCGATTTACTCCCATTTATAAATACATTGGGCCCTCTGTGTGCAGCTACAGGTCGCTGACCCGCTCAAAAATCGTCGTGTGCTGACATTCATCATGTGCACAAAACAAAGGCAATATACTTTTCAGTCCAAAAGGATTTGCTTTCCGTTCATTCAGAGCATCGTTACGTAATAGATTTTTTAAAAAAATAGAAACCAGAATTTATTTTGAGAAGACACTTCCACAAACTCAATCCTACTGTGTTGGAGTTGGAGAATTGAAAAAAATCACTTTGTCTCTCCCATCATTCTTCCCTCCCCCACGCCCCTGGAGTAATGTCTTGACTGCAATACTGCTCTTACATGAGGCAAGGAGGTGTAAGAGAATCCATGAAGATTTTTCTCTGCACCAAGTAAAGAAGCAACTGGGCATTGTACTTGGCAGAGCAGAAACCCCTTTTTAAACACACCATGTAGATATTCCACCGTAATGTCCGCCCATATTGCCCATGTTATCCCTTTCCTAATGTTATGTTAGTGTACAGCTCATTAGCATTAAGGTGGCCAAAGGCATGGTCAAAGAGAAAGGTCTTCAGACGGGACGTGAAGGGGGCATGCGAGGGGTTGAGGCAGAAGGACTCCAGGATAGAGTTGTAGAGTGTGGAGGGAGAGATGTTGAATGCCCGACCACCAATAGTGGTGCGGGAAGTGCAGGGACCTGAAGCAGGCTGAGCGGAGGGAGCAGACAGGCTGATATGGGGTTATGAAGTTGGAAAGGTCGGGGGGAGCAACACTGTGGAGGGCCTTGAAGGTAAGAACAAGGGTTTTGAACTCTATTCTCTGAAGAATGGGGAGCCAGTGAAGCCGGGAAACAACGGGGCTATTAGGTTCCCGGAGCCTGGTGTGGGAGAGGACATGAGCTGCAGAGTTCTGAATAATCTGCAGCTTGTGGACGGAAGAGTTGGGAAGTCCAGTTAGCAGGCGGTTGGCGTAGTCAAGCCAGGACATGTTATCTGTGTGGATCAGGGTATCGGCGGCCTGCGGTGAGAGGCAGCGGTGGAGGCTGGTAATATTGTAGAGGTGTGGAAGCCAAGCAGGAGGGCCTCTGTCTTGCCAATACTGAGCTGGAAGTTGACTCTCATCCAGGACTTGATGTCAGACAGACAATTAGTCAGGACATCAACGGTCCTGGAGTCGAGGGTGGAGGCAGTTTGCTGTCATTGAGATAAGTTGGGTGTCATCCGTATACATGTGGAAATTGACCCCATGCCAGTAGATAACATCACCGAGCAGGAGCATGGAAAGATTGAAGAGGAGGAGACCGAGGACAGAGCCCTGAGGGACGCCACACGTGACAATGCGGTGACTAGAGAAGAAGCCGTTGGTGGCCACGAAGTGAAGACGGTGGGAAAGGTAGGACTGGAACCATGCAAGAACAGAACCATTGAGGTGGAGGTGAGAGGAGAGGTGGTGGAAAAGAATATAGTGGTCAACAGTATCGAAAGGGGCCGAGAGGTCGAGAAGGACAAGGAGACAGAGAGAGCCCTGGTTGACCAAAGTGCAAGTGCAAGGCTGGAGTTCCACAAGAGGATATCTTTGATCCTGCTCATTTCTATGAAACCAGGGACACTTTAGGATGCTAATGTGATAAATACATTGTCTGTCCTGTGTGTATAAGTCATTGTATTCAGAGTCTGCAGATTTGCTGCGAGTATAAACACAGGTCTGTCAGTTAACCTTTATACTGTACTACCAGATCAGAATAGTACTGGAGGTACTCCATAAACTGTTGGCATTTCCCAAAATGTAATGATCAGGGAATACAAACAGTCTAGTCAAACCAGTACATAATGTACACCATGTTAATTAATTATCCTTGCATTTGATACAGTGACTTATCAATTGATCAGAACATCTCAAAGCGCTTTACAAGATTTACTATAGAGCGTAATGAGTTATTTGTGAACAAACGCAGCAGCCAATTTGTACACAGCACTGTCCCACAAACAGCCATGATACGAATGACCATGTTTTGCAGGTGAACAAATACAGGCTGCGGTGTGTTTGTATTTCAAAGAGCAACAGATGTTACTCTGACCAGCTCGCTGATTCATAATTCACAGTATACTTGTATACTGTTTCAGCAGTTACACTGGAGTTTACCATAAACTTACATTGTCTTTCTTCAGAGACAATGCAAGTCTAACACATGTTCAAGTCTGCTAAACTGTTAGCAATACAGTTTCCACAGCCCTTGAGCTGGAAGCTCAACAGTTTGCATGTCATACAGTGTGGTGTCCAAGTTATAAATAAAACATACAAGATATTCGGCACAAAGTTCACCAGCGATGCAAATCTAACAGGATTGCTCCCAGGGAGCTTTGAAAAGGTGAAGTGCACGAAACATTCAAACAGAACTCAACTTGATTTTTGCAAAGAGCAGCAAAATTACAAATACTATACCTGTATTCTAAAGAGTGTCCGAGAACAGAAATGCGTTTTCTCACGAGTTGTTTTTAACGATCTTGTTTTCTGCAGTCTCCTGACATTTCATAGGCGAACTCCCCCTCCCTTCCTCCCCGACTTGCTCCCAACCCTCCTCACTTGCTACACGGGGAGGTGCTTAAGAGCAGTCTGGGTAATTTGACAATCCCAGCGGAGGAACATTAAATCTCCACTCAGCACCTCTCCTGGAAGACAACAGCTGAGGTCAAGTCACTATCTGCAGCCCACCGGCCAGATTCTCCCAAACCACTGTTCAGCTCAGTGACCCAACAGCACCAGCCTTCCCATTTATGCCCTTTTCCCATCGAGCTGATCAAAACTCAATTCATCTATTTTACGACGCAAGTAGGCGATTATCCTCGCATTTAAACCAACAAATAGCAGCCATCATTGTCTTTCAGGTTCATTATGGAGCTTACATTTCAAGTGTTTCGCTTTTTTTTTCACAGCGCTCTTTTACGAAAGGTTTTTGTGATAGAGTCAAAATCTGATTAAGATTCTCATCACTCGCTCCCTCGGAGGGGTGAAACTACTTTCACATGCGAATAAAACTGCTGGAGTTTAATCAGCAAAAAAAAAAAAACCCCAAACAAGTCTGTTTGACATTAAGGTCAGTAAAAACGCCATTCTGAAAGATTCTGATAACTAGTTTCCATGTCACAAAACTTGTCCCATGCAGCAGCAGGAATGAGCTTTCAGCCTCTCTGCCCACACTCTGGAACTCCATCCGACAGTCCCTTCGCCTCGCCATCTCCCTTGCATCCTTCAAGGTCGGTCTCAAGACCCTCTTCTTCGATCGTGCCTTCGGTCGCCTTCCCGCACCCCTCCCCTCCCCTCCCCCATGCTCGGATCCTGACCCCCCCCCCCAACTGTCCAGCGCCTTGGGACGTCCTCCTGACGTGAAAGGCTCTCGATATACGCAATTTTGTTTTTGTTGTTGAGCATTTAAAAAGTTGAAAGTGTGCATTTAGAAAGGCAAGCACGCATTTACTCTTCGTAGCATTTCAGCAGAAAGCAAACAGAACCTGCAAAGGCTTACAACTTTATGGGGGCTCAAACTTGAACTTGTCAGATGTCAAAAAGTAATTATTGACAATCCTCCTGGAGGGGGGCGGGGGTTGTGGGGGTTGGGTAGGGGAGAGATATAAACAACAACAACAATAAACATGGTTTACTTGTGGCAGCACGGCCAGCCTGCTTCAGGGCAGACCAGTCACTGGGGGCAGGGAGTCAGCCCACTCAGCTCCTGTCAACCCTGCAAGCCATAGCCCTCATGGGGAGCAGGAAACTTGCCAGACAGGGGCACGCTATGGGGGCTTCAGCCGGTTCGATTCCAGCAGTAAACCAACACGCACTCTGGGGACCCCAAACCTTGGCTCTTGTCAATCTGGGTCGAGGAATCTCCAGACCCGGGTAAGAAAGATGCATCCCTCCAGGGAGAGAGTGCCCATTCCACTCCAAGGTGGGATACGTGGAACGGTTTGTTTGGATACCCTTAAGCACGGTGATGAGTTTCCGCACGGATCAGACAAAATGATTCCGCCGACCAAATGAAAAACATTTGGATGACGTGATCAGACGCTACATCAACCGTAATCGTTGTCACTCGATTTTCTCTATGCTTCACTCACAGAGAAGGGGAGGGAAGGCGGGGGAGAGGGGAGGGAGAAGGAGGGGAGGTGGGGGGGGGAGGAAAGGAGGTGGGGGGCTAGGAGAGGAGGTGGGGGAGAGAGGAGGGAGGGGGGGGAGAGAGAGAGGAGAAGGGAGGGGGAAGAGAGGAGGGAGGGGGGGAGAGAGGGAGGGGGGGAGAGAGAGAGCAGGGGGGAGAGAGGAGGGAGGGGGGAGAGAAGAGGGAGGGGGGAGAGAGGGGAGGGGGGGAGAGGAGGGAGAGGGGGAGAAGGAGGGGGGGAGAGGAGGAGGGGGAGAGAGGAGGGGGGGAGAGAGGGGGGGGAGAGAGGGGAGGGGGGGAGAGAGGAGGAGGGGGGGAGAGAGAGGAGGGGGGGAGAGAGGAGGAGGGGGGGAGAGAGGAGGAGGGGGGGGAGAGAGGAGGGAGGGGGGGGGAGAGGAGGGAGGGGGGAGAGGAGGGAGGGGGGGAGAGAGGAGGGAGGGGGGGGAGAAGGAGGGGGGGGAGAGAGGAGGAGGGGGGGGAGAGAGGAGGGGGGGGAGAGAGGAGGGGGGGGAGGAGGAGGGGGGAGAGAGGAGGGAGGGGGAGAGGAGGGAGAGGGGGGGAGAGGAGGGGAGGGAGAGAGGAGGGGGGGAGGAGAGAGGGGGAGAGAGGAGGGGGGGGGAGAGGAGGGAGGGGAGAAGGAGAGAGGGGGGGAGAGAGGAGGGAGGGGAGAGAGAGGAGGAGGGGGAGAGAGAGGAGGGAGGGAGAGAGAGGAGGGAGGGGAGAGGAGAGGGGGGGGGAGAGAGGAGGGAGGGGGGGAGAGAGGAGGGAGCGGGAGAGGAAGGAGCGAAGCTGGGAAGCAACAACGCGTTCCAGGACCTTGGAGAGGAAAACGAGGTTGGAGATGGGGAGGTAGTTTGAGAGCAGTGATGGGTCCAGGGAGGTTTTTTTTAAAGGGTAGGAGTGATGGCTGCCATTTTTAATGGGATGGGAACAATAAAATAACATAAAATAATCCTTGCTTTTAATATAGCGCTTTTCACGTGTTCTAGATGTCTCAAAGCGCTTCACAGAATATACTAAAAAGTGATGGAGAAAAGGAGCATTGGGTTGTCCTTGGCCTCCAATAT